ACTATCAAATAGGCAAGTCAATTTCATTTTAAAATTTATATTTTATGACATATTTTTACTATAATATACAATTAATATAATATAAATTTATACTGTATAAAGTCTATACTGACCCTTGCGAGATTGGGCCGCCTGTGGTAAGACGCGTCTTGGATAAGACGCGTCTTACAAAACAACAGGACTTTTAGCTGTTCTTATTTAAGTCGCGTCTTAACTAAGATATTTTAGACAAAAATCCTATCTACACATGCCCGAAACATGAAACAACGTAAAATTATTAGCCTTGCATATTAAAACAAAAACAACCGAAAGAACATTATATAGCTATCGCAAGTAAATAAGAATAAAGCCGTAGAGAACCATTTATGCGATAACTCCACTTATTTAAGTCGCGTCTTATGTAAGTCGCGTCTTATTTTGTCTCGTATAAATGGCCCTATTGTCACCACAGACGCTTATCAAACCGAGGTGAGGGCGAAATTATATAAATTTTGAACAGAAAGTTCACTGATTAGTATCACTAACCGCTGGGAAAACTGATCACACTGAGTATGAAACCACTGTGATGGAACGAGGTTGATGCAGTGAACTCTAATAAGACTGGAACGATAACTCAGGTAAACATGCCCATACTTGCCTGAAGCCAACCGAGCAAGGAAATTGCACTTTTAAAAGGACTAAGGAGAGTTTCGAGGAGTGGAAAATTCAGTCAAAGTTTATTTTCGACGAAAGAAAAGTCGTTTTTCATCAAAAGACTTCAATTTTAAAAACCCAAATACGATTTATTTGATAGTTAGAACTGCTTTGCATCTTACAACAGCAAAAGTTTGAAGGGTATCAGGTTTGTTTTCATAAAAACGACACTAGTCGAACGTGCCGAAGTGAACTTTGCTCTTTAACTAAAAAAAAACAACTTTAAAACGTAAGTCTACGGCCAATACCTTTTTTGTAGTAACGTCTAGGTATAGTTGTTTATTTTGAGTGCTTTTTGACTTCTCTAAAACGTGAATAAATCGATTTTTCCGTAGAAATCCCCCGTGATTTGCGATTTGTGATTTGGCGCCCGGCCAAGTTCGCGCGCTGTGACTTTCAAAAAAGAACTGGGGAGAGTTAAATTTCCTCGTAATTTTGTTTTTTTTAGCAAAAATACACCGAAAAATTAGGTTTTTCGTCCGAAGATTTCAATTTCAAAGATTCAAACTTGGTTTTCTGGATAGTTCTAAGTATTCTACATCCACTAACAGCAAAATCTCGAAAGGTACCATTTTTGTATTCAAGAAAATAACAAAATATTTTCCGTGCCGAACAAAATACGACTTTCAGGTACACAAAAAATAACGTTAAGTCTTTTCTACGGCTTCCAAACATGATTTGTGCAATAGTCCAAGTATCGTAGATGTTTTTAAGCTTTTTACCTATGTTCTGGCATAGCTAGAAAGGCAGAAATCCGAGTTTTTCGAAGAGGTGTATTTTCGCCTCCGTACCTCCAATGGCGGCCTTCAATTTTACCTTATTCTGTGATTTGGCTTCATGCAAATTGTAATATAGCATTCTGACGTCATACTCGAATAAATTTTTAAATTTTAATTCTTTAGAATTTACGGTAATACTTATCATTCTTCCAATTTCATTTCTTATTTGAGTTTTTTGTGTAGCTTATGTTAGTTATCATTACATTTTTTATATATTCAAAGTTTGAATCGAAAATTGCAGATTATTTTGTATGTAGTGAACAGAATTGAAGAATATAATAGAGAACAGAATTGAAGAATTTCAAATGATGCAGTTCCTTGTTTCTTAATAGTGATACACAAATCGTCACAAATACTAATATTTTACCTAGAGAGACTATATTCTACTATTATTTTACTATTAAAACTGTGCTACCATGATTATCTTTTGTACGATATTATTAAAACAATCTAACAGTACATAAGTTAATAAACACCATGCATGCTACCTCGCATGCGACTGTTTCCATGACGGTACGACTTGAGGTTTTTTCTTTTTTCCAGTTAAACCGATAAAAGAACTGGTTTGTGTTTAGGTAATTTAACACATATTTTTAACTGAAAAAAAGCGTTAAAATAAAAACCCCTTTGAAGAATGAAGAGGCAGCCTTGGAACAAGCCTGCAACCACGTTTATCGGATTATATTATATTACTCTGTGTTTATAAATACCATAGCCCATGAGCCGACTCTATATAGGCACATCAACAGTGCTGTTTTGTAAATTTTAAATTATAGTAGCAAAGTGAGTATTTTTATGCCATAGACAATCTAATCTTCGGTGTTCATTCTCCCAGAAGCCTATAAAACTCGCAATCAAACCACATTATATTAATGCATACAAAGCCAAATTCGGTTCATTCACATGACAGGCTGACAGCTGCATTACAATATTCGAATCATTGTGTTTAAACTGCACGCCATTTACTAAAATATCACGCAACTTTTATTCTCTATCCAAGGAGTCGCTTTTCTCAAACATGAACTTAGCAAATGGTAAAACTGAGGGTAAAAACCATAAGCAAAAGGGGAAAAAATTGCAAGTTTGCACAAAAATTTTCAGATTGCTGCAAATTGCAAAATTATTGTTTACAATTTTACTGCACAGCGATGAATGGCCAGCGGTTGCATGTTGAACCGGAAGTAAAAAACCATCTTTCTCCAAATATGGAAGTCATAATTAGGAAAAATCGTTTAATTTATGCGAAGAACGGTTTCTCGACCAATCAGAAGCTGCGGCCCCCCAAAGTCCGAAGGAAGGAGGGTAGATCGAGCGTCCTTGTGTTGCGAACTGTGATCGCTTTCGTGTCATGTTGGTAGAAAACTTTACAAAACCACGTTTCTTTTTGTTTTTGCTGTTGATTGAATGTGCTCCCTGATACAGTATGAGTGGAAACAGAAAAGATTCGACGAATTCACGTCCGGTAAGTGAACGTTTTTCTTAAATCTCCCTGGCGCTCGAAGGCTCGTGACATCTGAAATATATGGCTGGGCTATTCAAAATGGTTGTACACGAATATTTTTTTCTTGAATGCTCTTACTACGAGCCCTCATGGAGAAATCAGTTGTGTTTTTCGCTTTTGTCGTATGGTAGTTGATAAAGCCGTGTTTATTCATGTATATGAGCTGTATTTTATCAAGTTTCGTGTGTTGGTTAAATGGATATTCGTTTTGTTTTGAATGCTACATGCACACACGGTCGTGACAATGTCAAAGTACTTAAAATTTTTTGCCCCAAATATTGTGGTCAAGCAACACGAACAGGGGATGTTTTTTGTCCTTTTTAGTATGAAGTAATTCCTATTTAATCGATGTCGCTTCCTTGTTGTCCAAAAGCTTGTAAAATAAAAGGCAGATAGCTCATAATAGCTTTGTAATATCAACATTTTCCCTGACACAACGACACTTGTTTATGGCAACGTTCTGTTAAAATTCAGTGTTTTTGAAAGGTTTCTGTGGAGTTTTTAGCTTTATTTTTGTCTTGAAAGTACCTGCATACTTCCTAATGCAACAAGGCCCCTTTTGGCACAGTATTTATACTTTAATCTGGCTCAAAGTGTACTTTTTAACCGTTGTTTACGAAAATTTCATAATGCATTTGACCCACGTTGAAACTGGAGCTAGTGATATAAAAAGCTTATGTTTGCATTTATGTGCTTTGTGTGTGTGTTATTGGCCGTTTGTTTTATCAGTGACTTTGCTTAAAACTCATTAAGGTTCAATACTTAGTAGATGGATGGATTTTGTGTTTTTCCTAAATGTGTTCCTACAAAGATCAGAAGCCATCAGGCACATTATTTTTCAACAAATGTAAACATAGAGAAAGCCCTTGATTGCTTCAACTATATTGTGCTTCTTGTCAATATGTTGTGCAGCGTAATAGATACCTATGTGGTATCGATTGACTGCAAGTCCTTCGTTTATTTTTAAAGCTTGTCGGTTTGTACTAGACTAGCCGTACTGACTAAATCTTATGTTCCAGGTTGTGGAAGAACCGCCTTACTTGACTGTTGGCACTGAGGTCAGTGCAAAGTATCGTGGGGCATTCTGTGAGGCAAGCATCAAGTCACTTAAAAAGTTGGTGAAATGCAAGGTATTGGTTTCTCTTCTGGTAAAAAATTAGTGTAGTTTGCCATATTGGGTCATTCTAGAAAAGATCTGCCCTGCCCCCAAGATGGAAATTTCTGTTGTTCTAAGGGGGGGGGGGGAGAAAAGTTTGTTTCTCACAATAGTAAGTGTGTAAGGACATCCGGACATGGGGGAGGGGGGCTAACTTCCAATTTCCTCCGTGGAGAACGTATGGATGTTTTCTGGAATAACCCATTCTGTATTGTGTACTGGGTATTATATATGGTTGCTTATGCCTTACAGGTAGTATATCAATTCTTTTCCTATTTTTCCAAAGGTGAATTTTGAAAAAGGTGGTGGAAGCAGTACTGTTGCAGATGATTGTGTCACTGGTGAACTAAAGGTAATGTACCAATCAGATTGATACATATTAGGCACATGTCAGACGGTCTACTTTTCATGTGTCAAACTTAATTGACAAATTAGGTATGATACAGGAATGTTACGGGTATGAATCAGGTATGGGAATGAATCAAGTACTGTACGGCAGAATTTGGAGCGTCAAAATTTTGACACAAGTTCAGCAGGCCCTGTTGCATTATGTGACGTTCAGTGATATTGACTAATATGCTACTCAACTTGTGTGCCAAACCTAACTCAACTTGTTGAATTTGTTTGTACATTAGATTAACCATATTGTAATTTTAAAATAGACTTATTTTGAGTTGTACTGAGAATTGCTCGCAGATGCACCCCAACCTTGTAATATTATATTTTTACACAGCTTGAATCAATACTGTTTTTGTATTGTTCCTGTGTCACTAGGACTGTTCAGGATTACCGATATACCGAAAATATTGGTATTAAATCAATATCGGTATATCGATACCGGATATTCAACCATAGCGATATACCAAAATTACTGATATACTGAAATTTCCGATAGTGTTAAATTTACCAACTATAAGGCGAAACCATAACCCTTATTTTACTACTGAATGGCAATTCAGAGAACTTTCTACTGCAATGATCTAGAATTTCCACTTCAGTGAGATTTTATACTGAATATGTGTTGTTCGAAACATGTTTGAAACAACTTCAAAATTATCTTTTTCCCTTTTAGAATTACTAAAAATTTCCTTAAAATTTCCATTAAAGAATTTTCCTTTAGAATTATCAAAGGAAAACCGGTATACCGATAATATTGCAGGCACAGATTTTCTGGGGGGGTGCGCACCCCCCCCCCAGAAATACTTTGCACCCCCCAGAGGCATTTGGCACTGCCCCAAAAAAGTTTTTGCACCCCCTCAAATTATACATATTTTGATTTGATATTTTCCTATTTGGTTATTCTTATTACTAAATTTGTAAAATTACTAATATTATGGTCTCAGATGCCACCATGTAGGCCTAGAAAACAAGTTTTGTTAAACATTTTCCTTGGCCTTTCTGGACGTTGCCACCAGGCCCCGGTCAAAGCAAGAAGCAGCACCCCCAGATATTTATTCACCCACCCCCGCCCCGAACGAAAATATGAAAATCCGTCTCTGTAATATCGGTATAATTTTTTCGGTATACCGATACCAGAAATTTCCCATATCGAACATTCCTACATGTCACATCTAATACAATCAAGTTCAACATGTGAGGAGTATGCTATCTGCTATCTTAATTGAACATAAGGCATTACATCATGCTCTTGTGAGACCGGCGAGGGTTAATTCCATTGTGGCATGGAAACATGTAGGGAATAAAGAAAGTGATATGTGAAACTCTCTTCAAATAATAACCACAATATAAAGAATGTTGAAAACAAAAGCAAAATTCTAATAGCAACTTGGCAACCTTTTCCAGATTTATCCTGCTTTATTAGTATACTATATTAGGTAATAGTATGGTTTTGAGTGTAATTTGGAAGAAACACGAACGAGTGAATTTTTCAAAGACAATCGAGTCCTTGACAAACTTTGTTTTTGACCTAAAAACATTTTATACTTGATATTTTACTTGATATTTTGTAAAGGGCCCACTGTATATAATTGGTATTAAGATGTTGTGGTGTCCCAGCTTCTTTAATGCAATTATTGTATGATATTTGGAAGTGAAGCACAATAAAAAGTAATTGCACAATTTCAAAAATAATTCCACTACTCTTAGCCAATCAGGATTGAGTATTTTTTTCATCTATATGATTAATGTGAGTAGAACACAAAGTACAAGCATCATAAAATGTTTGTTGATGCTGTACAAATCCAAAGTATATTGTCATTATGAATTCAGACAATGGACAATGTTTTGTGTCACATTCCTATTTCAGAATGCATAGGTTGTTGCTGACATTTCAGGAAGGAAAAGTATAAAAATACAATACATTTTGTACCACATTTTAATCCATGGGGCCCTGTTAGGGGTAAGTTGCGACAGCCAACAGGGCCCTTTTTTAGGCGACAGCACAGTTTTGCAATCCCGACGAACGGCGGTAAAGAAGGGTGAAAAAGCGACAGCGACACTGTTTTATTTATTTTCGACAGCGACAGCACTATATTTTAAAAAGCGACAACGACGTTGGCACAGAGAAGGCTCAAGAGAAGGAAGTTTCTGTAATGGGGCTAGCATAAACAGTCGATATACATGTCAAATATTCTTTTCACAGTATTTCTTTAAATGCATTTTGTTGTAACTTGTTAATATTAACAAGTTACTACAAAATGGTTATACAATGAGATCGATATACAAGAAACGTGTTGTCCATGTGATTGCGCTATTCGTGCAAAATTCTGACGGCGACATTTGACAAGTTTCAAAAAGCAACATTGACAATTTTAAAACTGTGACAGCCGACATCACCACCCCCCCAAACAGGGCCCCATCCATTAAGTGGAAATGCAGCCCACTCCATTATTTCACTATGCCCAACACCAAACACTTACTTCTCAAATGAACCAGCTTTTGTGGCGTTGTGGTCACCACGCTTGCCTTTCAAGCTGGCCTTTCAAGCTGGGTTCTAGGTTCAATACTTGATCGGACCTCTACTCAAGGTCTTAAAATAATTGAGAAGTAAATGCTATCCTTACATTGGCATCAGTAAATGGTTAGACTTTCACGTCTTCTCAGATAATGACGTTAAAATTATTTGGATCTCCTATCAATTGGGCAATCTGAGCCTGTTGGGAAATCCACTCACCAGTGAGTGAGAAACTCAACAAACAATAAAGAGTGCTTTGAAAAAAATATCAATGGGAATTGTTTGCCTACAATCATTTGTTAACCCATTAACACTCCCCTTGATGAGTAAAATTATCTGGTGTTAGAAAAACAGGGTGTTCACGGGCCTTGAAAATCCTGGAAAGTCCTTGAATTGGAAAAAAATATTCCAGGACTGGAAAAAGGCCTTGAAAGTCCTGGAAAAGTCCTTGAATTTTGCCTTCACCAAAGGGTTGTACAGTAGGTGGACACACTGGAAAAAGTAGGGTTCATCAGGGTGCATCACCACTTAATGGGTTAATTATTATGTTTGTGATGTTACTCTGAGTGTATATCCACACCTGGCAAGCTTGAAAAGTATGCCAGGCCATGGTGGGAATCGAACCTACGACCTTTGGAATACTAGCCCAATGCTCTTCCAACTGAGCTACGCGGTCAGGTCGGTTCAACACAGGGTTAATTATTGTTTATTCATTTCTAGGTTGGTTCAGATGTGAAGGTGAAAGTTCCAGATGGTCAAGATATGGCTGGTATTCTGGTGAAAATAACAGACTCCAGTTCATACACTGTTGTGTTTGATGATGGAGATGAAAGAACATTGAAGAGAACATCATTGTGTATCAAGGGTGAAAAACATTTCAATGAAAGTGAAACTCTGGACCATTTACCGCTAACAGACCCTGAAAACTTTGGGACACCAGTCATGCAGGTATGTTCTATAAATTACAGTTGATTTTACATAACGTTTCCTTGAATAATGGAAACTTTGTTCAAAAGTTCATAATCATATTCACAAACTGGTTTGTAAACAATGCATACGATTGGCTTCTTTTTGTTCTGGGACCAATCAGAGGCTTTGTTTGCAAACCAGCTTTGAAATTTCAATATGAACTTTCAAACTTCGCAACAAAGATCAGAACGAAGTTCTCAACATTCAGGGAAAAGTTATGCAAGATCAAGTGTAAATATTATATAAATGTGCAGTCATTTCTAAACTCATGTGCACTTAGTGATATTGAAATATACAGCTATTTCAATTCAGGTTGTCCACGAGCAAAGCGGAAAAGT